AGTTTCACTATTTTTAATGTTTGATGTTTAATTATTAGTTTTAATATTTTGGTATTTTTAATACAATTTATAGTTTTTTTAATATATTTTGTTTATACTCTTGTACCTGCTTATTTAAAAAATACCTACATTTCCCTTATTTAAAAAGTATGAAATTTTATACTAATTTCCCTTATATGTTACTATTATTTAATTTAACTTACCTGTTCTTCCAAGAGTTTCGGCAATATTTTTCCATATATTATTTTTCGCAACTAAATCTTTGTAACTCTTCAATTGACAATTAAAAAGTGCGGGATGCTGCCTAACCAGATCAATTAGGTATTCATCCTCATTTCCGGAAAATTTCTGACTCATTTTTATAAGTCAACAAGAACTTTCTGACTGAATCGTTCCGCTGAAATATTTTCGAATTTTATTTTCGACCGAACGCAACCGACTACCACAACCGACAAAAATCGATCACCTAACGGCTTTAAAGGTATCTGATTTAGTTTGATTGAAACAGATATGAAGAGTAATTAAATTTAGATTAATTTAACGTTGTTTTCGTAAACAGTTTAGTGGTGTTTTTCCATGTTGTTCTCAAAACAAGTAACAGGTGAAATTAGTTTTAAATTGCTTGTTAAAAGCCAATAAATTGTTTATTTTGTGCGCTGAAAGTTTAAATTTCACAAAATATATGTATATGTTACAGTGATAGTTGGAGCTTCAGTAAATGCTAGCAATTATCCATTAGGAAATGTTATACATGAACTGAACTTTTATACTTTTACAAGTGAACCTTGGAAGAAGCCAATAAAAACAACATTTACTGACGGTAGCTAGTAAAAGCAATTTCATAGGTATTTGCAAACCTTTATTTAGGTTTGTTATGACAACAAAAAATGAAACACATCAGTTTTCTTTAAATATTAAACGAACATTAAATAAATAAATAAAACATGCATATTTTAAACATAAAACATTCATTATTACTACACCCAAGTGGTCAATACTTTTATAACAAAGTTCAGTTTTTGGGACATGTTATTTCAGAACAAGGGGTAGGAATAGACTCATCTCAAGTTGGGGCCATAGAGAAGTTCCCAGAACCTACTTGTAAAAAGGAACTATTGCAATGGCTGGAGATGGTAAATTTTGTGGGAGATCAACGTTGGATAACCTGGTAGCGATTGAGTCCAAAGTACATGAAGCTATGGCAAACCACCAACATTGTATAGCAATATTTTTTTATATAAAAAATGCCTATGATACGATATGGCGTCATGACATCTTAAAAACCCTTCATCAATGGTCAATTCTCGACAATCTTGCTATGTTTATCAACAATTTCTTGATTCAACGCACCTTTCAAGTTCGATTAGACGGCTTCCTATCAACGCAAAAAATTCAAGAGAATAGTATCCTGGAAGGTTCCAACTTAAGCATAATATTGCTTTAAAAAGCAATCAATAATATTACCCAGGATATCAGAATCCCAGTCAATGCAAGACTATATGCTGATGATCTCGTCATCTTCTTAAGTGGAACAAATATCAGTAGAATACATAGAACATTACAGGAAGCATTATATAACATCCAGACTGAGTCTGAAAAAACTGGTCTGCAATTTTCTATCCAAAACATCAAAGCTATGATTTTTTCACTAAAAAGTAATAACGATTTGCCACACCTAAATTTGTGTATGTGGATAGCATAAGATTTCTTGGAATGACATTTGATAAAAAACTTTCATGGAAAGAACATATAAAAAATCTTCGATTAAACTGTCAACAGGGTCTGAATTTAATGAGATCAGTAGCACACAAGTGCATTTTTTAAATTGCAGTTTTCAGTTCTAAATTCGACAGAACTATTGATAAAAAGTATTAGGAACTATAGAACTATAGCGGATGCCATAAGAACTCTGCCTAAAATATGAGATGCTAACTTCACACACACCAATTTTTTCTGTTTTCTGTATTTGTATAACAAAATAATGTTATGTGTGTTTGATCCTGATATAGGAACTTTTTAATAATACATTTTTTTTCTTGCCTTTCATTCAAAACTACATTTCTGGGTGTTTGGTCCCAATTTTAGAATCCATTTTATTTATCATTTACACCAGCAATTTTTCTGTTTAAATTTGTTTGAAATACACTCACCGACTTAAAATTCGATCCATTCAAAATAATGATTTATTTAAAAATGCTCTAACTTTTAAATGCGGAGGCTGATTTATTTGAAGTTTTTAGCAACTTTTAGATAAAATATTGCAGTTTTAAGATTATTATTCGGACATCTAAAAGTAATTTAATACTCGCCGGATATACAGGGGGAAAAGAAAACAATTTTTTCCTCTACTGTTGACACACCCTGTAGGTTAATTCTGCTAGTAGATCTACACACTATTAACTTTACCAAGAAGACCAATTTGTTTCCAACATTATGTTTTTTATTTACCCCGATATCTTAATTTATTTGTGAAATATGACGGTTTAAAGAAAATGCTACATTCTTTATTTTTTTATTCAGTTTTAGCAGAGTAATACATAATTTTATAAACAAATCAAACAACAAATAAACTAATAATTATTACAAATTAATAACGGGTATTTCCCCAAGGGCGCGAATAACTGCCTCAATGCGTCGTCGCATACCCTCTATTAGATGTCGAATCTCCATCTGGTCAATCTGATCTCATTCTTGGACCAAAGCATCTCTCAAAATTTAAATTACTTGGAGAAGGAACTCGGTTATGAACTCCTCTGCCCATCATGTCCTAGACGTGCTCAATTGGATTGAGGTCTGGGCTACGTGATGGGCAGTTCATCCTTTGAATTTCTGTTTCGTCCAAATATTGAGATATAATCCTCGCATTATGTGGTCGAGCATTGTCATACATAAACATGAATTCGTTTCCTATAAACAGTGCAAATGGAATTACATGTGGATCTAGCCCATCACGAATATATCGGTTAGCTGTCATTGCTCTGACGCCAACAATGACTAAATTAGTACGAGCTTCCATGCTTATGCCGCCCCAAACCATTACCGATCCTCCTTCATAACACTGACAGCCGTATGCATAGTCGATCGCCAGCGACTCGCCAGAGATTCATTTCTGCGTATCGCCAGCGATTCGCTGGCGATCCGCCGGCGAAAGCCCAAAAAGGTGGCGACTCGCCGTGATTGTCACCGGAATGTCATTTCACGCAAGTTTCTATTTTCTTTTATAGGGATTATCACCGGTATATCTTGCATTTTATTCATGATTCATTTCTTAAAACTCAAAAAATAATGAACGAATATCAAATTTTTCTCTACAAAAGAACATGAAAACTTGCGTGAAATGACATTCCGGTGACAATCTCCGGCGAGTCGCCAGCTTTTTGGGCTTTCGCCGGCGGATCGCCAGCGAATCGCTGGCGATACGCCGAAATGAATCTCTGGCGAGTCGCTGGCGATCGACTATGCATACGGCTGTGAGTCTTGCAGAAAAATTTGCTTGGTCAAACCTTTCGCCTCTTCTTCAGTATATTCTTTCACGGCCATCAGGAGAACGTAAACAAAACCTTGACTCGTCAGAAAATAAAATCTTACTCCAGTCATCGACATTCCAATGTTAATGCTGTATGGCAAATCGAAGACGTGCTGTTCTGTGATTCCTAAATAACTCCGGACCAGTTGCAGGTCTTCTGGATCGTAATCCATGGTTTCGTATTCGCCTTCGAATCGGTATTTCATTAACAGTTGACGTACTTCTTTTAAACGATTTCGAGCCATGACAGCAGTAGTATTTCTTTCTCGCAAAACATTTAATGTTACAAAACGATCATCTCGAACATTTGTAGCTCTCTGGACGCTACACCTTGTAACACCCAATATTCTAGAAGCATAATACTGAGACCTACCGTCTTGTACCAGAGCAACTGCTCGTGCTGCATCAGTAGGCGTTAAAACCATGATGTTATGCTGATAAAGAATATTTGTTATGCTGATAATTAAATTGCAATTGCCAAGTAACGAATATTTGACAGTTGTCATATCGTGAGTTGGCCATAGCACTCTGCTTATTTTGTAGTTTATTCTCTACCGTCATTTAAATTATGACCGTTTCTAAAATGTAGCATTTTCTTTAAACCGTCACATTTCACAAACAAATTAAGATATCGGGTTAAATAAGAAAACAAAGTGTTGGAAACAAATCAGTCTTCTTGATAAAGTTAATTGTGTGGAGATCTACTAGCAGAATTAACCTACAGGGTATATCAAAAAAAGAGGAAAAAATTGTTTTCTCTTCTCCCCTGTATATGCGGTGAGTACTAAATTACTTTGAAAAATAATCTTAAAACTACAATATTTTATCTAAAAGTTGCTAAAAACTTCAAATAAATCAGCCTCCGCATTTGAAAGTTGGAGCATTTTTAAATAAATCATTATTTTGAATGGATCGAATTTTAAGTCATTTTTATATGGTTAACTTATTTTTAAAATAAGGTATTACCAGTTTGCTGATTTCTTCTACAAAAGTATCCTTGCTTTATAGTTTTTAATTAATTAAATCTTTCATATCAGCTTTTTATGAGCTTTGCTGCAGAATTTATTATTTAAAACCTTTTTTTTTTGCTTTAGATATTGATCCTTTAGCCACACACAACATTTAAATATTTAATTAAATAATTAACCTAATTAAATGGAAATTTTATTTATTGAGATACATTCTACTATCAAGTTGTAAATTTCTTTATTCTCCGTTGCCAGTAAAACTTGAATGTTGGTGGGAAATTGTAAATTTAACTTATTTAGTTTGTCCATGAAGTTAGCAGTTCCTGGATTTATTTTACAATTATTTAAAACCTTAATGTGTCTGTAATATTTATGTACCTGTATTTTTTTAATTTTTAGTATTATCTAGTTGTTTTTAAATTCAAATTTTCTAGTTTGCAATAACGCCAACAAGAATGCCATGACTTCATATTTTTTTATTTATTAAAAAAAAAACACATATTTATGTTTTCATTATGTTATATTAAAAGTAAGAAATCTACAATAATTATTGTTAACCGACAGGGCATTTATAAGACACATAATCTCTACAACAATATTCCCTTCCAGCAGATAGATTTGTTCCGTGCCATTTGTCACTGTGGTTTTTCACGAATAGGTAAGCTCTCTCCTTGTAAACGTGTTCCCTCTCAACCGTGGCACAAATAATTTCATTGCTCTTCGGCAGGTGTTTGATGATCTGAAATAATAAAAAAAAAATGAATTAACAGTGTTTGAACAAGTGTGAAACATCGAATCTAGACAATCCGTCACTTCCCTTCAAGAGCGTTGAAGGGCAAAAGGTTCTAATTCGATAATTTTACTTTTAATTTTTTTGACACTTAGAAATACGTAAAGATTTTGCCAGTGAGTCAGCAAATACCGGAAATATAGGACAGAAAAGAAAGGATACGTAATGAAACAAAAAGAAACGCTATGTAGGAAGGAAAATAAGTGGAAACTTAAAAAAGAATAAAAGGGTTAGCAGCGGTTCTAAAAGACGAACTAGAAAAAGGAAGGCATGGAAGAAATTCACACATAAAACTATAATGATAGATAAAGAAGAATATGTCAGAACAAGTAAAGATGTGTATGAAATGCAAATGAGATAATATAATATAGTACACTAGTGAGAATAATCTGTTTTTTAAAAATTTTTTTTTTTGTAAAACATCATTTTTTTTCAGTTGGATTTGAAGAATTCCGCCCCATTTAAATATGCCATAATAATTTAACCTCGACTCAACAAGAGAATAATAAATTATTTTTAAATGACGAACATCTAGACATGTTTTAAGATATTTAAATTTTGGAAGAAGGCATCTTAAAGATCTAGCAATATCTTCGACATGTGCTTCCACTTAAGATACGAGTATAGTTTTATTCCTAAATAGTTAATTTTATTCACTGACCTAATATTTGCATTTTGATGGCTTTGAATCTAAAGAGGATTTATAACTACAAAAAAGAACAAAATGGGTTTTCTCAAATTAACAGTTAATTTCTCATGATTAAACCAGTCAATAATTTTATCTAAATCTCTTTCTGTTTTTATTTTTAGATCCTCCCAATTTTCAGCTATGTAAATAATGGCGGTGTCGTCAGCGAAACTAATTATGTTACTTTCAGTTTCAATACTGAAGAGGCTATTTATATAAAAACTAAACAATAGAGGACCTAGAACAGTGCCTTGTGGTACTCCATAATTAAGTGTTTTATATTCACTAAAGACATCATTCACTTCAACTATTTGTTTTTTGTTATTTACGTTACTAGCAATCAAATCAAGTGATGTCACTCGTATCCCTGCATCTCCCAAGGCATCTATCAACTGTTTATGACAAACGGTATCGAATGCCTTTGGGAGATCCAGAAATACATTGGCTTTGTTAATTGGGCAATTGCATCATTCGTAGATAAGCCTTCTTTAAAACCATATTGGCATTTGGATATTAATTATTGTTTATTGAAAAAAGTTGTAAAACGTATTTTTAAAGCTTTCTCAAAAATTTTAGTAAGTGTAGTTATTAAAGAGATTGGTCTATAATTGGAAAAATTATTCTATCACCTTTTTTGTAAATTGGTAATATAACTGCCACTTTAAAATGATTTGGACATTCACCAGTATTAAAAATGTGATTTATTAGATTAACTAATTGAGGGATAATTTCATTTTTTTTATTTTTTACTATTTCGGTTGTTAGACCATCTATTTCTGGTTTCTTTTTACTTTTTAAAGATTCTATAATTCTATTTGATTCTGCACCAGTAACCTGAGAGAGATAAAACGATTGTAAAATGGATTTATTTTTCGGTGAAGGTGTTTGGAGTCCCATAATTTTAGTAGCATACGTCTCTCCTACATCAGTGAAATGTTGGACAAATCCATTTGCAATGCTCTTGCTGTCCGTAATAGATGATCCATTTTGAGCAAACACTTCCTCTACGTTTTTAATATTTTCTTCTTGTTTCGACATGTTTACAATGTTCCAAAAATTTTTAGAATAGTTACTATTTTTTTTTATTTCATTCTTAAAATAATCTTTTTTTGCAGATTTTATTATTTTCGTTAACTGGTCTCTGTAGCTAAATAATTAATTTATTTTTTTAGGTTATTTGGGTCTTTCAAGTACTCTTTGTACAGAGTATTTTTTATATTTACGGACTTTATCAAACCTTTTGTAATTCCTTTTGTCTTTTTTGTTCACATTTCTTTATTTTTAACAAGGTAGTATTTTTATTTATAAATAGTTCTAGGGATTCTGTCACGATATCGCATTTTTCATTTACATTTTTCGAGTTATAATATTCTTCCCAATTTTTATTTTTTAAGTAGTTTTCAAGTACTTAAAATTGATTTGTATTTTAAAAAAATCTCTATTTTTCAAATATAATAATTTTAATGGCATACTTAAAAATGTCAATGGTTGCAGCTACAGTACAAATTTTAATAGGTTCGGATTTACATTTAAAAAAAATATGTTTATTAATCATAGATTCAAAATTAAATTCATACAGTATGTTATAAGATATTCAAAAACTACATCACTTCTATTATCTTCAATATTTAAGTTATTATTGCCTAAAAAAATATGAAATCCTATATCAAATCTACTGCGATACCTATATATTTAAATAAACGCATTTTTTTTGAATACCCTATCTGAAATTAGGAGTCATTTTGGTAACTTTTAGATTTCTATTTTTTAATGCATAATAAACGTATGTACAAATTTGTAATATAGAAAATACAATATTAGAATGTCTGCTGAAGCTTATCATCATTTTCTCTTTCTTTTTTTTTTGTAATTAATAAATCATTTTTTTCTTCAAGCGTATAATAATGTTTACATTATATCAAGGTACACGTGTTGTAGAAGTAGCCTATTTTTATACTAGTACAAATATTTTTCATTTTTGTACTAGTATAAAAAAGCATAAACCTAATATTAAATGGCTTATTATGAACGTTGCAATCAGGTAGGCTGGAACTGTCATTTTAATACTTATTTAATTTGACGTTTGTCAGTGTATGATTTGAAATATAAAAAAAATAGTGTTAACCCGTTCGTTATACCTGTGTTTTTCAAGTAAAAAGAAAATATCAGAAGAAATGCAATCAACACCTCCCGAATTGCTAGAAATAGCTAAATCTTCGATAGAAACCTTAATAGCTACGAAATCGTAGAAAGTTTACGATTATGCTTACACAAAATTTGTGAAATGGAGTGAAGAAAATCACGTACATTTTTATTCAGAAAATGTTCTGATCGCATATTTTACTAATTTGTCTGAAAAATTCAAAAGTTCAACAATGTGGTCGCAGTATTTAATGCTGAAATCAGAACGAAATATTAAACATAATGTAATAATTGAAAACTATTCAAAATTAATTGCCTTCTTAAAACGAAAAGGTGATAATTATAAACCGAAGAAGTCAAACGTTTTTTCTAAACAGGAGTTTGATAACTTTCTTAAGAGTGCACCAAACAAGAGATATTTAGCAACTAAGGTAGGTACATAATTTTTTTAAACTGTTACTTATTTAGTTTTACAGATATTCTATTAATTTCTACTTTTTTATTTTAATTATTTTTATCCATACTTTTATTTAAATGCTTGAAGAAAAAATAGTATATGTCACTCGGATTAGAAGGCCCATTATATGTTTCGCCCAGTTTGCACAGCTTCGGCTAACGCCTCAGCTGTGCAAAATTCTGGGCTCAACATATAATGTTGGCCTTCTACTCCTAGTAACATAATATACTATTTTAAACTAGTATAAGTTCATTTCATAGCCTTTCAATTGCACGTCATACGGCATCTATCTCGCTTTATCGCATTAAGTTGAAAGAAATGCAAAAAACGGTACATCCACTATACATTTTCGCGACGCAACAAAATCATGAGAGATCTACACGTAGATATTAAATAGCTACAATTGACACAATACGGGCATTTCATTGGCTGCCGTTTGCTATACGTCATGGCCTCATAGTCAAATTGAAATCTTGAAAACGCTCTTTAGCTATTTTTGATAAACGTCAAAGTGTACGTCTGACAATTTTTATCAGACCAGTACTTCCATTAATTCCATTTGTAATTATTGTGGTTGATCACATTTTTTAGAAGTTGGAATATTATTTTTTATTTATTTATTTATTTATTTATTTATTTATTTATTTATTTATTTATTTATTTATTTATTTATTTATTTTGATAACTATAAGCATGCCGAGGTATAGCGAAAAAGAGCACAAGCGTTTGTATTAAAACTTCTTGCTTATTTCCAATTAGAAAACCAAGCCGGTAAAACTCTATTGCCCGTAAATGCTGTACATGAAGTAAGTTTCACATCTTAAAGTTTAGTAAAAATTCATTGATGATCAATTAATTTTAGCGTGTTTCGGCCGCCTTAGGAATATCGCTATCGACTGTAGGACGATTGGCAAATGAAGGTATTCAAGCAGATCGCGAATACTCAGCTAAAATGTCCGATTATGTGAGCGTCAGACGTGGTCCCGATATTCGGAAGAAATATGAACATGGTATCATATGTTTCCATTTCACACACAAAATTGTTTACTGGTTCATTAGGAGTTTATTTTTAAGGGTTAGTTTTAATAATTTTTTTGTTACATTTTTTCTTATTGTAGGTGAGCATGTGACTCTTTATACGTTGAAGAAAAAAATTAGAAGATGTGTATGGAATAAATACATCAGTTTCTTCACTCAGTAGGGCGTTAAAAGAATTAAAATTCAAGTGGATAAGCTGTAACATCTCTAACAGAAAATATCTCATGGAACAGTCACATGTTACACGAAAAATATTGTTTTTACGAGAATTAAAAAAAAATTAAAGTGATTCTCATCGTCTCAAGCCTGTATATCTTAAAGAAACTTGGATATTTAGCAGAGGAGGATTTCGCAAAAGCTGGCAGGATGGTACCGATAAGGCAGTCAGAAAGAAGAGTGGTGAAGGTGTACGATACATTGTTCTTCATGCGGGTTTATGAAAATGGGTTTATTAATGACTGTAGCTTGATATTTAAAGGTGGTAGTAAATCTGGCGATTATCATGATTCAATGAATGCTGATAATTTTGAAAGATGGTTTGAATATCAGCTTCTACCAAGCTTAGAATAACCGTCATTAATAATAATATACAATGCGTCGTACCATTCAACGTTGCTCGAAAGA